AAGTTATATTCCATATCGTATTTATGTTTATCATAATTGAATGGTTATCACTTGTGATATTACATGCTTTGAACTTTTTTCAGTTTCAACAACAAAAAATTGGCATTCAGGCACAGTAGTGATCTCTCATCTGTGGGAGATAGGTTTCTGTGTATTGAACCAATACTGAGATAACTTCAGATTAAAAGCATATTCGAGATATGTGCTACTGTCCATTTGGAAGTGACTATATGTATTATAAGTGAATTTTTCAACTTTAACCCATGTATATGTACATGGGTTCGTGGATGGCACACACATGCGTGGGCAGCCATAACCCAAGAAGTTGCGTGACCTGCAAGGAGATAAACGTGAACTCTCTAGTCAGGAAAGTCTCAAAAGAGATAGAAGAAACCTTTCCCTGTTTTTTTTTGGTTCTTGATTATACATTTTAAAACTGATAATAAAATATTTTAAGCCTATGTAATTTTATTCATTTAGGTATTAGAATTAACAAAATGAAGATTTTATTCTTAGGCAAATCTGTTACCTGAAACCTCCAAAGCATAATGAGATTTCAGTTCAAAAGCTAGCTTTCTTGGACTATAACATGTGGGTAAACTAATATTCTCTCAAATTTAAGAAAAGCTAATTTTACTGACTAAATATCTGGTATTTGACATTGCTCCAAAAACCAGTTAGTCATAAACATTCTCTCAGGTTTATTTTTACTTGTTTATTTAAGTAGGCCTTCTAGGGGTGCCTGGGTGGCTTGGTCGGTTAAGCGTCCGACTTCAGCTCAGGTCATGATCTCACGGTCCGTGAGTTCGAGCCCTGCGTCGGGCTCTGTGCTGACAGCTCAGAGCATGGAGCCTGTTTCAGATTCTGTGTCTCCCTCTCTCTCTGCTCCTTCCTTGTTCATGCTCTGTCTCTCTCTGTCTCAAAAATAAATAAACGTTAAAAAAAAAAAATTTAAAAAAAAGTAGGCCTTCTACATCAGTTTCTATGGCTATAACTGTTTCATTACATTACAAACTTTGTTACACAGTTAGAAAATAAATTGCATGTATATTTGAATACTTAAAATTTTGTTTGTTTGTTTGTTTTTCAACTTAGAAGTGAGGGTAAAGTTTATCCCTATCAGTCTTTCACTTACTTTGTAAATAGCTCTTGCCTATTTAGAAAAATCTGTCTCAATCCTGTATATAAAGTCCTAAGGCTATAAAACAACTTTTTGTTAATTGTAGTAACAACCTCATAGGGTTGTTAGGAGGATTACATTAAATCTGTATGAAGAATTTAGAAAGTGCCAGGCACATGGCAAGCAGTTTAAAAAAAAGATTAGTGTTGTTGTTGTGTTTTGTTTTTTAATGCATACAAAGAAATATAGCTCCCGTGGTATTGTCAAACCAGTTAATAGACCATTATTACATAGGTTTGGCTCTTACTTGTTCCTACAGCCTAACCTGATAGAGTTCAAAGAACTTCCTCAGTTTTTGCCAGAATTCTTAGAGGGGACCAAAATGGCCCTTCTTCAGTTGTTTTATGACTTTTAAAATCCACACAATCTACATGAACACAGCAGGGATTTCCCTATCAGCTTACTGCTTCTGAATCCCCACCTGCTGATCCCAAATGAAAATAGTTACTCACATCTTTATTCCATTTGACTGATAAAACTGCTTGAATTTTTTCTGACTTTCCCTGCAAAATTGGGAGATGAAGAGAGGAGTGTTTTGAAAAGATTCTGTACTTGGGGTGCCTGGGTGGCTCAGTTGGTTAAGCGTCCGACTTCGACTCAGGTCATGATCTCACGGTCCATGAGTTTGAGCCCCACGTCGGGCTCTGTGCTGACAGCTCAGAGCCTGGGGCCCGTTTCAGATTCTGTGTCTCCCTCTTTCTCTGCCCCTCCCCTGTTCATGCTCTGTCTCTCTCTGTCTCAAAAATAAACGTTAAAAAAAAAAAATTAAAAAAAAAAAAGAAAGAAAAGATTCTGTACATGCAAACGTTTAGGTGTCCTTCAAATGTTGTTATAACCAGGTACTTTTTCCTAACAATCAGAATAGCCTGGCATACATCTGCCCAGGGAAAACTCTATCATCTGGACTTCAGGAAGATTAAATGCTAATTTATATGAAGAGGTAAAAAACATTCCCATTGTAAGTGGGAACTGTGCTGTCTGTACCAGTGTGGCATCATATTGCCTAGGCTCCCTTATTATTTATCTTTGTGTGAATATGTGTTGTCTCAACTATATTTAAAATAAAAACTTCAACAGCAATATCTAGTAATACCTTTAGATCTTTGAAAACCATAGGTGTAGCACAGTATCCTGACAAAGGTGGGCACACAGTAAGTATTTGTTGATGATAATAGACATGGAACTGACAGAATTAAATAAACTCAATGAGCGAGTTGATGAAAGTTGGAAGCATCTAGTGAATATTGTAACTAGGATATGTGGGTCATTAGAGTGATGGAGAAAAGAAAGCAAATAGAATAAGAATATGAAAAAGAATGGAATAGATGAGTTGCTTCTTGATTTTGATATTTCATATTTTCTTGGTTATGTCACATGATTTTAAAAATGGGGTACAATTTAATACGTGATGGGGTATATAAAATACAGTCCTAAATTAAGATTGTTAAATCTCAAGTCTCGACTTTATTTGTGGCTTGTGAATGTAGGATGGCATTTCATTTTGGGGGTTATCTCTGATGTTCTTAAGCCTTCTTTATGATGCCATAGTTAGGTCTGGATGTCTGACTGTTGAAATATTTCAGAAATAAGCTGGGACCGTTAGAAGGAATTCTGTATGATGGGGTGCCTGGGTGGCTCATTCAGTTGAGCGTCTGCATCTTGATTTAGGCTCAGATCATGATCCCAGGGTTGAGGTATTGAGTCCTATGTCAGGCTCCATGCTGAGTGAGTGCCCTGGGTGGAAACCAATTTCAGTTAATGATAAGATCTGCATCATATTTTGATTTCAGGCTCAGATCATGATTTTGATCCCATTTTGGGGTTTTTTTGGTGTTGGGTCATTTTTTTTTTTTTATAATTGTCAGGCTCCATGCTGAGTGAGCCTGCCTAGGATTCCTGTCTCACCTGTCTCTCCTGTCTCTCTCCTGTCTCACTCCTCCTCCCACTCCTCCTCCCACCCCCCCCACGACTACTCCCTGCCCTCACTCCCATGGGCACTTAAAAGCTCCTCTCAAAAAAAAAAAAAAAGAAGAAGAAGAAAGAATTCTGTATGAGATTATGAGGGCATGGGAATAGTTGAGAGTTATTCTGAGTGCTCTTAGGCCAATTACAAATACATTTTGGATCACATATTAACTTATGCCTTAGAGAGTAAAGCAGTAGAAGAACCACCTTAAAAATCAAAATTTAAAGAATTGATAGCTACAGCCCCCTGCCTCAATTGACTTACATCTTTACCTCAATATTCACCTATTCATAATCATTTCTGAGAGAAGTTTAGGGATGTTTCTTACTAGCAAAAGAGAGAAGGGCATAGATACATATGTTTTAAAAATCTGAAAACAGGGGTTCCTGGGTGGCTCAGTTGGTTAAGCATCTGACTTCAGCTCAGGTCATGATCTCACAGTTCAGGTTCATTGGAGCTTTCTCGCAGGCTCTGTGCTGACATCGGTTGAGCCTGGAGCCATAGCTTCAGATTCCAATCTCCTTCTCTCTGCGCCTCCCCTGCTCATGCTCTGTCTCTCTTTGTCTCAAAAATAAATAAAAACATTAAAAAAAATAAAAAATAAATAAAAAATAAAAATCTGAAAACAAAATACTACATATTTATAGTTGAAATTGGGGGAAATAGAAAAAAACAGAAGATAAATAAATTGCTTACCATTTTTGGCATATGTGTCTCCTTTTTTCTTTCCCTGAGACCACTGATACATAATTTTTTTCTGTTTTTTAGCATATATTTTATGATCTGCTTTCCACATACTACCTAATAAATACTTGCCCGTATTGTTACATAGTCCACATAATTTTATTTTTTTAAGTTTTTTAGGTTTACTTATTTATTTTGAGAGAGAGAACACATGCAAGTGGGGGAGGAGCAGAGAGAGAGAATCCCAAGCAGGCTCTGTATTGTCAGTGCAGAGTCCCGCACAGGGCTCAAACCCACAAACTGTGAGATCATGACCAGAGCCCAAACCAAGAATCAGACACTCAGCTGACTGAGCCACCCAGGCATCCCTAGTCTACATAATTTTAAATGGCTGCATAGACTGTCTTCCATCCTTAAGATGTACTGTGGTTTAACTAATCTCCTATTGTAGGGCATTTAGATTGTTTTAAGTATTTTCTATTAATACATCATTCAACATCCCTGTAAATAAATCTTTCCACATATTCCTGATTATTTGTTTAGAATAGATTGCTAGAAAGGGACTTGATGGTCAGACAGTTTCCTTTTTTTTTCTTTTAAGTAATCTCTACACCCAATGTGGTACTTGAACTTACAACCCTGAGATCCAGAGTTGCATGCCCTACCATCTTAGCCAGCCAGATGCCCCAGTATACATATTTCTAAAGGCCATTGGTAGATAAAGCTGAATTCCCCTCTAGCAATACTATATATTAAGATAATAAAACACTTATATTAGGATTATGAATGTAGTCAAATTCTTTGTCTTGCAGCATTCCTTCTTAACTCTACAGTAAGTAGATGGAACCCATCTGTGTAATAGGGGAGACAGAGGTTATTAGTAATTCACAAACTGCATAATACTTTTAGAGGAGATGGGCTTAAGGAATACTATTGCAAATTATACCCATAATGCAAATTTTTATTTAGCAATTTTTATTAAAATGAGATCATATTCTATGTCCTGTATAAGATATATCATGTGATTTTGTCGTAGTGTTTACATCAAAATGAAACTATGTAGAGTGCTGTTTATATATTGAAATGTTTTCATTTTTTTTTACTTGTAGCCATATAAAGAAGATACTTAACAGTCATTTCTCAACAATTATATAGTCAACTGATGTAACAATGGTACTAATATTGGGACGAAGACTAAACAGAGAGGATCTTGGGGTGCGTGATTCCCCAGCTACTAAACGTAAAGTTTTTGAAATGGACCCTAAATCTCTGACAGGCCGTGAGTTTTTTGACTTCTCTTCAGGATCATCCCATGCTGAAAACATACTCCAGATATTCAATGAATTCCGAGACAGCCGCTTATTCACAGATGTTATCATTTGTGTGGAAGGCAAAGAATTTCCTTGCCATAGAGCTGTTCTCTCAGCCTGCAGTAGCTATTTCAGAGCTATGTTTTGTAACGACCACAGAGAAAGCAGAGAAATGTTGGTTGAGATTAATGGTATTTTAGCTGAAGCCATGGAATGTTTTTTGCAGTATGTTTATACTGGAAAAGTAAAGATCACTACAGAGAATGTACAATATCTCTTTGAAACATCAAGCCTCTTTCAGATTAGTGTTCTCCGTGATGCATGTGCCAAGTTCTTAGAGGAGCAACTTGATCCTTGTAACTGCTTAGGAATCCAGCGCTTTGCTGATACGCATTCCCTCAAAACACTCTTCACAAAATGCAAGAATTTTGCATTACAGACTTTTGAGGATGTGTCTCAGCATGAAGAATTTCTTGAGCTTGATAAAGATGAACTTATTGATTATATCTGTAGTGATGAACTTGTTATTGGTAAAGAGGAGATGGTTTTTGAAGCCGTCATGCGTTGGGTCTATCGTGCTGTTGATCTGAGAAGACCACTGTTACATGAGCTCCTGACACATGTGAGACTCCCTCTGTTGCATCCCAACTACTTTGTCCAAACAGTTGAGGTGGACCAATTGATCCAGAATTCTCCTGAGTGTTATCAGTTGTTGCATGAAGCAAGACGGTACCACATACTTGGGAATGAAATGATGTCCCCAAGGACTAGGCCACGCAGGTGAGAAAACTGTTTGTAAATGAACTACAACATAAGCAACACAAGTTTTTATTTGTTTAATATTTTTAAACCTCCTGAGTGAAATCTCAGTTATTTTATGTATTGTCTACATGTAGCTTTATATGATTTAAGATTTGTTATGGATTATGTAAATCATTAAAATGCCCCCCTCCCCCCAAAAATAAAATAAAATGTTTCTGCCAGTGAAGGCTAGATTCAACAGTAACATTTTTTTGTTATTGTTCTGAGCTATGAAAGGGTATGGCAAAGGGTCTTTACAACTCTGCACATCTCAATATATTTCTACTTATTTCTCTTAACATTTATAGGGTCCCAGATCATTTCACTTTTCTTTCCAGAGGGCCTTTGGATATAAAGTACATTAAAGACTTTGGTAGACTGTCTTGGATTGCCTCTACATATAAAAAACAATCGGCCAATTTACAGACTCCCTTTTTTCCAAACAGACAACTTGAAATATAAATGTGAAGTAAATAAGCTGCTATATATTGAGTGGATTCTTAGATGTAAAACCCATGTTTCAGATCTCTTTTTATTGCCATGGTTACTATATTTAATGTCAATCTCAATTTTTAAATTTTTTTCTGAATATAAAAATTGTATCAGAGAGAATTTAGAAATTTATGTTTGGAGGTGGGAATTCAATTCAGTATTATATTTGTATCATCTTATAATGTGTATTTATAAAGCACATATAGATTTCAATTCATAAACTATAGAAAAATAATATCCATGCTTTAATAATTGAAGGAATAATACTAAATGTGCCAAACTGTGAATAAGCAAGAAACAGCTATTGTGAGAAATATTACAGTAAAAAATATTTCTAATATCTTTCTAACAAAGCTAATTTTTTTTAATTGTGGTAAAAAAAGCATATAACATAAGTTTACCTTCTTAACAATTTTTAAGTGTACTACTCAGTAGTGTTAAATATATTCACATTGTTGTGAAACTGGTGTTTATTTTTATTTTCACATAGCGTCTCCACTTTTCCTATAAATTTACTAGAGCATAGCTCTTAAATCAAATTTTTAGACTTGATTTTGATTATTATTGTTTTATATGTGATTAAAATTCAGCATATTAGGAAATAGCATGTCTTTAAAATCTACACTAGTTTGGATATAGTAAGATTTAATCTCTTTCCTCATATGTAAAATGAGAATGATGATTTAAATAGTACTTAGTTAACTATTAAGTGCAATAACAAGGTACTCATCATCAGAAGTGGTGTGCAGAAGTACTTAAAAATTATTAGCTATTATTACTTATGTAGTATAGTATAGGTCTGACCCACTTTTTTTTTTTTTTAATTTTTTTTTTTTCAACGTTTATTTATTTTTGGGACAGAGAGAGACAGAGCATGAACGGGGGAGGGGCAGAGAGAGAGGGAGACACAGAATCGGAAACAGGCTCCAGGCTCTGAGCCATCAGCCCAGAGCCTGATGCGGGGCTCGAACTCACGGACCGCGAGATCGTGACCTGGCTGAAGTCGGACGCTTAACTGACTGCGCCACCCAGGCGCCCCAGGTCTGACCCACTTTAAGAAAACTCCCAGTCTGAACTTTTTTGGATACAGTATTGGGTAATTAAAACTACAAAAAAATAATGTAATATTTCTTTGTATTAGAGTTAGAGTGCACTTTTTTTCTTCAAAGTCAACTGAGTTTCATGAAAAGTAATTGCTTTATAAGAAAGGAATATAAAATATTTTACCCAGTTTTTAAACAAAGGACAAGAACATGCAATTTTATTATATAATATACTGATTTTTTTAAGCTGTTATTTTATTTAAGGACTGTTATGAAACTTGGGCTGAGCTTAGAAATGTAAAAGACCAAGGTTCTTCAGTGTATTAATTAAGAACACTGGGGATGCCTGGGTGGCTCAGCCAGTTAAGCACCAACTCTTGATTTTGGCTCAGGTCATGATCTTACGGTTCATGGGATCAATCCTCACATCAGGCTCTGAGCTAACAGTGCAGAACCTGCTTGGGATTCTTTCTCTCCCTCTCTCTCTGCCCTCTCCTGCTTGTGCTCACTCTCCCAAAATAAATCAATAAACATTAAAAAAAAAAAAACACTGAACAGCTTTGGGGCTGTTCTAGAACTTTTCTGGATACACAGTATCCCTCCAAGGGGAAAATCGTGTGTTTTCTTTTAGAGAGAGAGAGAGAGTGCATGGAGGAGAGGAGCAGAGGGAGAGAGAGAGAATCTCAAGGAGATTCCACACTCAGCATGGAGCCCTACATGGGGCTTGATCCCACAACCCTGGTATCATGACCTGAACTGAAATCAAGAGTTAGATGCTCAACCAACTGAGCCACCCACGTACCCCACAATTGTGTATTTTTCTAAACAGAATGCCCTTATAGCAGAGAGAATGGTTTTGGGTCACATAGGGTTAATAATACCTTTCCTGCATATCTCCTATATATGCATAAGATTAGAATTAGGGACCAAGGAATATATGTTGTGAAATCAAACCAAGTTATTTTATTATTAACATTATAAAAATATGACATAAATGAAATCAGATTGCAGCCTAAGGATAATTAAGCTTAGAATATAAATAGATAATTTTCCAATTCACTTAATTATTTGATTTGTAAAAATGTATTTTACATCCAATTTTTAAGGGAATCAATCCATTTCATACAGTGAAATAATCTGTGTAAGATTGTAATGTCATCTTTATTTAAGGGAAAAGTAGGAAAAACCAAACTGTAGTTACATTGAATTTACAGAATATTGTAAATGTAATAGAAGATATTTATTTTATGTAGGCATTACATGAGGAATATAAGGAGAAATGCTTTATTTTACAACTCTACCATCACCTCCTGTTCTTTATATTCTTTCACTTATCTGTTACTGCATATTAGTACCAATCACTAGGAATTTCATTATCTGAACAATGTGTATTGTTTGTACAGGTTCTCATCTTTCTGAGAAACTCCAAACTTCTTTGAAAGAGGAGTGATGTCTCCACTTCAAGTACAGTTTACTCCTCTGACTTCTGCTCCAGTCCCTCTACTGAAACTCCTCTCAATCAGGTCATTACTGACCTTCTATTTGTTATTTGTTAGCTTCTTTGCAGTCTTTATTCACCTTGATCTCTCACTAGGATTTGACATTATCAATTGTTTTACTTTTTCTTGATGCTCTCTCCTCCACAAGCTTCTGAAACACTATTTTCCTTATGGTCTTCTTCTCCAGCTGCTCTTTTCCAATTTGATGGTTCTATGTCTTATCTTTGAAATGTTCATCATCCCCTTGGTTCACATCTGTCTGTCTTGCCTTATATTACATCTTCCCAGGTTATCTCATCTATTCTCTTCATTTTAATTACCATATATGCTATTGACTATCAAACCTATAACTCCAGCCCAGACTTCTCTCTTTCTTTTATTCATCCATTCATTCAGCCAATTTTTAAAAAATTATTTGTTTGTTTATTTTTACTTCAGGATGCATCTTTAAAACAATAACATAGGCGTACCATGGTGGCTCAGTCAGTGAGCGTCTAACTTCAGCTCAGGTCATGAGCTGAAATATTTTGTTAATTTTTTTAATGTTTATTTATATTTTGAGAGAGAGAGAGCGCGCGCAACAGCACGATGGGGGAGGGGCAGAGAGAAAGGGAGACACAGAATGTGGAGCAGAATCTCCAGGCTCTGAGCTGTCAGCACAGATCTGACATGGAGCTTCAACCCATGAACCGTGAGATCATGACCTGAGCCAAAGTCAGACGCTTAACTGACTGAGCCACCCAGGCACCCCAATAATAATTCTTTCATATTAACTAATACCCAGTCCATATCCATATTTCCCCAATCCCTAAACTGTTCCATAATGAACCTTGATCCAGTCAAAGACCACTCATTGCATGTAGTTATTTCCACCAAGTCTTTTATTCTAGAACAGTTTCTTTTTCATAATTTTAACTTGTTGATGGGCAAGTTGCCCAGGAGAATATTGCACCTTCTGTATTAGGTTGCTTCCTTATGGTGTTACTTAGTTGAATTTAGCTATGTTTACTGGAAACTGGAAGTTAGCTCTACAAGCTCCAGCTTGATGGAGACAAGTTAAATATTTTTGGCTAGAATTCATCCTAGGTAATGTGTATATATTGTATGGCATTACATTAAGAGACATAGTATATCTGGTCGTCCCACCTTTAGTGATGCAAAAGTTAACTCTGGATTAGGGTGATGACAGTCTGTTCCTACCACTGTACAGTTAGGTTATAGTCCTCACATCAGCCAGTATTTCTTCAATGCTTATCCTGTGCCAAGTATTCTCTGGAGCTCAATCCATACTGGATATTCTACCTATATATACCCACGTGTCTCTCAAATGAGAGAGAAAACCCCAACATACATTATATTGAAAACAGTATGATAGGGTTACTTAGAAAGAAAGTGTGGGCCAATCTAAGAGCATGTAAATTCTGATAATCTGTACTACCAGTTGTAAAGCCCTGGTAGAAAAAATAATAGAGACCAATCATAGGAATAAAGCTTAGGAATAGTTGTCTTTTTATTAATATATATTATGTAACTTTAAATCTCTGTACTAATACATAATGCTATTTTTTAATAAACAAATGCAAGCATCATTATGTGTTCAGAATACTGGCTTCAGAATCAGGCATAGTCTAGGATCTGGCTCTGTACAAATAGTTAGTTCCATGACTTTAGGCAAAGCATTTTCACTTCTCTATCAGTTTCCTCTTCTCTAAAATAAGCCTAATGCCACTTTGTAATATTGCGAGGATTGGAAATACCATATGAAAAGTGTATACGCTCGTATTTGACACAAAAATACACAATAAAAGTTTTTACTTGTTTTATGAATAATAAAAATACATTACATATTTGTGCTATACTTTTACAGAATAGGAAATATTGTTTGAGAGACAGAAATGCTTAATGTGGTTTATTTTAAGCATAGTTTGTTCATGTCTATGGAAAAATTTGATGCTCTTTGTCACATTCCATTGAAGAATAGGGATAGCTAAGATTTAATAACTTATCATTTTGAGTTTGGAATTAGTTTTAAGTATTTTTCTAATAATTGTCTATCTTGCCTAATAATCAGTTACTATATAATGAAAATTATGTGCATAAGGAAGACAAGGTTCAAGTTCCTGTTGGAAACCAATGAGTAGACAAAGATATGATTAAGATTTTGGGCAGGGGGTAGTGGTGCCTGGGTAGCTCAGTCAGTTAAGCAGCCAACTCTTGATTTTGGCACAGGTCATGGTCTCACAGTCATGAGATTGGCCCCACATCCAGCTCTGTGCTGAGCGTGGAGTCTGTTTCGGATTCTCTCTCTCTTCCTCTCTCTCTGCCCCTCCCCCACTCTCACTATCTCGGTCTCTCTCAAAATAAATACATAAGTCTTTTAATTTTTTTTTTGTTTGTTTTTAAGAAATAGTATTTTCGGGACATCTGGGTGGCTCAGTCGGTTGGGCATCCAACTCTTGATTTTGGTTCAGGTCATGATCCCAGGGTAGTGGGATTGAGCCCTGCATCAGGCTCCATGCTGAGCATGGAGTTTATCTCTCTTTCTCACTCTCTGCCTCTCTCCCCCACTTGTGCTCTCTCTCTCTCTCTCTCTCTCTCTGTCTCTCTGTCTCTCTCTCACAGTAAAAGAAAGAGTATTTTAAAATTCAGTGTTTTCAATTTTTTCCAGTCCCTCTTAAGAATAATAATCTGTTATACTATAGTATGCATAGTTTACCATTTTTCTCCATGTTAGTTTCTTTATTTTTAACTCAAACATTTTTACATAAAAGTATACATGTAAGTCTCCCTCTACCTGACCCTTGATGTATCAATTCTCCCCAAAGGATACCTGTTGCCAGTTTTTTGAACTCTTTAGAAATATACTTTGCATATAGAAGTGGGCATGTGAATATATGCACACATACCTGCCTATTTTTTTTATACACTCCACTCTGCACCTTGTTTTTATCACTTATAAGTATCTTGGAGATTATTCTATATCAGCACATATAGATCTTTAAGTCAGTCTGTTTAGAGTATTCTCTTACTATGGACAGGTCACTAAGTGGGAAGGTTTTCAAAGGCTGTTTGGGCAAGCATGGAATCCAAACAAAGGGAGTTAATAGATCTTTAGAATCAGAATCCTCTCAGCTAGTATAGCTTGAGCAAGTCTCCACAACCACAAAAATATTCTTACCAAAGAACCAGTAATGTTCAAGTTAGCTAACCTAAGATTCTTTTTCCCTTAGAAATAACTTGAATGAGCACAGGAAATGTTTACCTCTGTGATTATTATACTTTTTCATTCATTTACTTGTTGCTTCTATCACTGACCAAACCCCTCTTTTGATATGTAGGGTTTTTTTTTTAGATATATTAATACATTGAGTTTAGTAAGTGTCATACCTTATGGACTAAAGAACCATGTAGTCTCATATCTCTATTTTAGTTAATTATTTTGTTTGGTGGAGCAGTTTTCAGATATCTTTGAATCTTGGAATGATGAATAGATTATATTACTAATATCTTTCCCTTCTCCCTTCCAATGTCCTGCTATATGGAGACACTGCCTTTCCTGTTGTGCTTTTTAAATATGTTCAGCTATTCTTCCCATTAACCATTAACCATTCCCATTGATCCCTTTTTTGTTGATGAGAGTTAGTTTGGCAGTTCACCTATCTCTGGCATATTTGGCAATATTGCTTCTCGGCCTTTTGGCTAAGATCAAGTGTAGTATCTGGCATATTTGGCATTAATAATAAGTAGGTTTGTTATTTTAGCCGACAAGTCCTGTATTTTGCTTTTTAAGATTCTTAACTGAACCTGATAATTATTACACATTTTGTTCATCAGGTTGAGAATATCCTATGGATTTATAATTATTTTATCTTTCACATAAATCAAAGAATGTAATCTTCTAATTTGATCTTAAATTCGTGATAAGAGAGGGTGACAATTTTTTTAACAGTAATTACCATAGTAAATTTTTTAAAAGGATAATTTGGTTGTCATACACCCCCAGAAACAGCAAATATTTGTTATTTTATCACAGCAAAATCAGAATTTTCATTTTAAAGCATTAATAAAATATATAACAATAATTAATTAATTAAATATTAATAAAATAAAGTAACATTCACTCTAAAAATTAGATAGAGGGGTGCCTGGGTGGCTAAGTCTGTTGAGCGTCCACCTCTTGGTCTCAACTCAGGTCATGATCTCAGGGTCATGATATCAAGCCCAGAGTTGGGCTCTGTGCTGGGCGTGGAGCCTGCTTGGGATTCATTCTCTCTCTGTCTCTGTCTCTCTCTCTCTGCCTCTCTTTCTCTCTCTCTCTCTCTCTCTCTCTCTCTCTCTCTCTCTCCCCCCCCCTCCCTCCCTCTCTCTCCCCCTCCCCCTCTCCTTCCCTCTCCCCCTGCCTCTCCCCTGCTCGCACACACTCTCTCTCAAAAATACATACATAGATTGAATTGGATATCCAGACTTTTATTCATCCTATAGTATCATCTTGAATGCCTTTTTGTTCTAGTTGCCATCATCAGCTGGAGTAACTTATTTCCATTAAGGCTATCATCTCCCTACCATAGATAAAAGTTTTCCAAGCTCAAGAAATAAAAATAACTTTTATTGGGTTAACAGTCTCTATAATGAGAACACTAGACCTGTCTCTAAGTTAAAAGCCATTTGGTTGCAAATAAGACCTTCCATACAGGCAAAATTACTAGTTTATTGATCCTTTCAAATAAAAACACATTCCAGTACACCTGAAATGATCCTTTATTTAGTGGGACTAATTGTTTTTTTGTGTTTTTGTTTTTTTTTTTTTTAGTGGGACTAATTGTTTTGGCCATTAGCTTTTTGTGCTATTTTCTCTTGTCCCAAGGTACAAAAACATACAATGTATGTTTATTAGGCTAAGAAGTCTTGAAAAAGGCAAGCAAGGTTAAGCAAAGAGAAACTATAAAACAAATAAAATGTTATAGGAAAAGTGTAAAGCACAATTCTATAATATAATAATAGTTGTATTGATTTTACATTAAAATAATTGGGAGTGGTTGGACCCCAATGACAGTATTTAGCAACTTTTGTTTTGATCAATCAATAAATAAGGCTTTGAGGAATATCACATGGATTTGTCTTAGAGGTATTTTAAGTGTAATTTTGGGAAATGATACTTTTATGGAAAGAAAGAGAAGTTAATAGTTATACTCCATATCTGGTGTTATTCTCTTTACTTTTAATAGTTTTGTGTTGGAATTATTCATTTTGGAATACTTTAATAGTCTCATTTTGGAATTATTTGGAAAATAGTATTGATAATATTTCCATCTTTCCAATAATATTTTACTATGTACTAGATTAGGGTTATATGATTTGCTGGGTTCCTAAAAGTAATTTTTATTCCCTCTATGAACAAGATTCTTTTCTACAATATATTTTTCTGATTTTATAATGGAAAAATATGGCTGGCATGGAACAGGAGAATGATTATTAGCTGGAAAAGCTATGAGTAAATGTAGCTAGAATAGAGTATTTCTGTTAGAGGAACATACCAGTATTGCTTAATTTTGTTTTTTTCTAGTGTAATTGTGTAACTTTAGTGTAATGACTAAAACTACAAATCAGTGTTCTGATGTGGTCTATCTTCCCTCCATATTTAAGTTAATAGAAGAGGGATTGTTAGCATTTTGCTTCATGAGACTTAAAATTATAACAACCATAAAATGTAGGTGCATTTTTCATTTCAGTTATATTTGTGAAAAAATATAAAAGCCAAATAACTTTCAAATTCCAAACTATCTATTGATCCTTATGAACAACAACAACAAAAAAAAACTTAGATAAGTTTTTAGTTTTTCCTGTATCTCACTTAAATGTAAACTACAAAACAAAAGAATCCTGTGACTAACATAAACCTTAGGATTCTCTTAGTGCTCTAAATATTTTTTTTTCCACTCTAAAAATTCTCCATGCTCATTATCATCTCGAAAATTTGTGTTGATAGAAGGAAACCACACTATCCAGAGATAGCTATCGTTAGCACCTTGGTATATTCTTTCCAGAATTTTTTACATAGTATTGATGAGACCTTCTGTATAATTTTTGTCTTGCTTTTTTCCATTAACATTCTTTGTTATAAACTCTTTTAGTGACTGCTCAGTGTTTTGCTTTGGATTACTTTAATTACTTAACTTTAAAAGATTATTATAAAAAATAATTTCTGAATAAGTACACATACTCCTTTAAAGGGTACTTATACTATGAATTCGTTTTTTTAGAACTAGCAGTCTGATGAAAAGCACCATTTGTCTACATTATCTTACCTTGGTGTGATTATACACATCTGAATTGCTGCAAAACTGCATTTGAAAATCATCCTTATTAATACCAGGATTCCAGTTGAGTTAGGTAGGATCTTTAGACTGCTTTACAATTTTTGAGGCAAAACTCATAGAAAAAAGTACCCATAGAAATTTTCTGTGGAAAATGATGTCACTAAATCCCTTATAAATGTTCTCAAAGTAAGTCATTGGCAGCCTGTATTATTTGGCACATGCTCAGAGAATAAACTGTTTACTTTATAATCGTGTTCTGCTTTCTTAATGATAATGGTATGTCTTTAGAGTTTCCAATGATCTTGCATGTATTTTATTATTTAAACATTCCTATAATAATTATTTTAGGTCAACTGGCTATTCTGAGGTGATTGTTGTCGTTGGAGGCTGTGAACGGGTTGGAGGATTTAATCTTCCATACACTGAGTGTTATGATCCTGTGACAGGAGAATGGAAGTCTTTGGCTAAGCTTCCAGAATTTACCAAATCAGAGTATGCGGTCTGTGCTCTAAGGAATGACATTCTTGTTTCAGGTAAAGAATTATTACTGTAGCAACTTTTAATTTGAACATAGCTTGGCTGTTTTAAACAATAGTACTGTCTCAAAAAAAAAACAAAAACAAAAACAAAAACCAGACAGTGAAAGTGAATATGCCCACTTTAGGCAGATCAGTTTATACAACAAATAAAACCAAGAGTGACTTTTTGCGCTTAAAAACGAGCTCAAGATGATCTAGAATGATTTATAAGAGATCCACTAGAAAAATGCCTGTAATCATCATATTTTAAATGTTATCAAATGCATATAGAATATAGTATAATTTTTCTTAACTTTTACCTGTTAACTTTGTTTTAAGGAACACGGTAAAGTATGCAAAGTGAAAAATACCCATATAATTAAGCATCTCCAATCCACCCAGCTTTTCTGAAATTCTCCCAAAGTTTATGAAACATGATTTTCCTTAAAATTCTTAACTTCTTTTTTTTTTTTTAATTTCTTTTTAACGTCTGTTTTTGAGAGACAGAGTGCAAGCGGGGGAGGGGCAGAAAGAGATGGATGCACAGAATCCAAAGCAGGCTCCAGGCTCTGAGCTGTCATAGCAGGGCCAGATACTGGGCTCAAACTCACAAATTGTGAGATCGTGACCTGATCTCGTGATCACGTGCTGAAGTCAAAAGCTCAACCAACTGAGCCACCCTGGTGCCCCAAAATTCTTAACTTCGTTTATGTGATGTTACTTCTAAAATCAGAGACCGTAAAATGACAGACGTATACAAAGTATAACTACTGTATCAATGGTCCTAAGTCTGTTCATGGTTAATAATTTTACCAGCTTTGCAGATTACTATATTACTACCTGTTGAACAATGTAACAATACATACTTTATTTTGTACAATAGTATACTTTTGAAAAAATGGATGATTTAAAAAAACTTTTTATAAATAATTCTGTTTGGGTGCTTCTGATGTCTGATTCAAATTAATAGTCTCATACATTTGTAAAATTCATATTCTGCATTTTATTATTTGGGGCCTATAATTATTATTTTTCAAGATAATCAGCCAAGTTTAAATCTGCTCTGTGGAACTATTTCCATTAAACTTTAAGAGGGTCTTTCATTTATTGAACTGAATTCACAAATTCTTAGACTGAATAAATCCTATGTTTTAATTATCTATGCCTTGAGCATAGTCCCTTAGTGATATATATATTATTGTGTGTACATTGTTTTGCATTTAAAGGTGGAAGAATCAATGGTCGTGATGTGTGGATTTATAACTCACAGTTAAATATTTGGATCAGAGTTGCTTCTCTAAATAAAGGCAGATGGCGTCACAAAATGGCTGTCCTCCTTGGTAAAGTAAGAAACCACTTTTTATTACTATTGCTGGTACATTTCCAAAATAAATACCACAGCTGAATCTTTCATTTTACTCACTCTCTGGGTATTTTGGATTCAAATTGTATTTCCTTCCATTTCTAACCTCAGTAGATAAACTGCAGATATAAACAATTTGACACTGTACTTTTGAATGGATATTTTGTTTTCCCAATTTGGAATTTGTGGCAGTGAAGCACATTTCTCTTTTTATACTCCATTGGAGTCTGAATGCCTAAGAAGCATTGGAAAATAAAGGAGTTACATCAAGTACAAAAACAGGCTAATGTCTAATCCAAGCAATCATTTTCCTTTGCTGACTGGCAGTCAGGAGGAGATACATTTATCTAGAGTGATGTTATTTTATCTTTTTTCTTTACACAAGTTAGGGACAAAAGTTTAAAGTAAGTGTTAAGATAAATTCAGCAACATATTTTAAAGAAAACTGATTATTGACTGTAGCTACTACATACTTAAAAATATATAATTTGGGGGCGCCTGGGTGGCTCAGTCGGTTAAGCATCTGACTTCAGCTTAGGTCATGATCTTGAAGCAGTTTAAGAATTCAAGCC